TTTTTTTCTAACACATTTTAGGATTCCAGTCAGAATTTCTGGTTTAGGCAGAAGAGGGCAGTGTTTGACATTTAGTTGGCATTTAAAGCTGTGCAAATAGGTTTTTCCCCACCTAATTTATTTTGAAATACTTCACGGTATGAAAATAAGAACTATGCTGATTCAGGCCTTAGGCCTATGTATTCCATCATTGGACAGCTAGAATATTCAGGAATCTTACAATTCTGTAAAGGTATAATATGTTAGCCCTCATTCTCTGTTGTTTTCCAGAAACCAGTATTTAAGACATACTGTCTGTAAATGGAATTTGTAGCCATTTATCAACTCTCTATGAATCTGTCCAATACCTTTTGAAAACCACCCATCTTGACTTCTGTGGACTGTGTGAAATAAGAGTTCCTTCTGTTGTTCATGAATCTGTGCAATTAGCTTCCATGTCTACCCTCAGTCCTCATAGTGAGGAAAGGGCAAAAGCCTTATTTCTCCATGTTATCAGTGCCATTCATGATTTTTTTTATACCTTTGTCACATCTTCTGTTAGCCTAAATTTTCCAGGTTAAGCAGCCCAGTTGCTATAGTTTTTCTTCATATGACAATTACTGTAGCCTGTTATACTTTTTCAGGCCTTAGGCTTAAAATCTTTCTTAAGGTGTACTGAACAGAAAGTAGCATGACATTTCCAAGTGTGATTTTACCATAGATTTATATAAGGGAATTATTGGGATTGCCGATTCTTTTTCCCCGATTTCTTTCCGAGATTCCAAGCATACATTCACCGTTTTTTTTTAACAGCAGCTCCATACTAAGTTGACATATCACTGAACTTTCTAATCTAGTTCCAAGTTTCTTTCTTGACTGATGATTATCAGAATAGTTCCATTAATGTACAGGTGAAATTGGGGAATTTTTATGCCAACATACATAATGTTATGCATTTATATTAAACTACTTTGAAGACATTTCTCCCGCTTAGGAGAGAGACTTTCAGGGCAATCAACAGCCCTTTTTTGGTATGTCCACCCTGAATGTTTTGATAACATCAGCAGGCATAACTCTTTCATTACTCAAATCTTAATTTCAAATTGTTTACTTACAAACAAACAAAAAGCCAAGATCCCAATAATGATTCCTTGGGACAGTACTTTACATCTGAATCTGAATCAAGGAGCGTTATTCCTACTTTCTGTTTCCTATAAGTGCAGATATTTTTTAAAATACTAAAACACATCTAAAACTAATCAGTGTACAACTTTTCACCGACAAAAGGGCGAATGACAAAACCGTGCCCGCCTAAACCGCGTTGCTGACGTCATCAACAGGGCGACAACAGCGCGGAGACAGAAGCGCGCTGTAAAAGTAACCCTAAACCTAAACTTAACCCCTAAACCTAACGCTAAACCTAACGCTAAACCTAACGCTAAGCCTAACCCTAAACGTAAACCTAACCCTAAACCTAACCCTTAACCTAACCCTAAACCTAACCCTAAACGTAAACCTAACCCTAAACCTAACCCTTAACCTAACC